AATAATAATAATAATAATCTTTATTTCAGGTACAATAACATTAACCCATATAAATTTTACACAAGAAATAGGCACATAATAATAAATAGAAACAGTTTAATAAACAGCAGTATGCAGACTCATCCAATGCTGAGTTAATTTGGAGTCCCATCTGTCTGTGAGTACGTTCAGGATACTGTTGGGACTGGAACGTACACGCCCCCATAGCGAGGCGGATCTTTTTCTTAAAACAGCGAAAAAACCGTCTGTGTGCGCTTCCGTAAACATTCCTGAGGCACTACAAAAACGCGGCAGACCCAGCAATACCCTGAACGCATTATTGTATTGGACACGCAAAGCACTGAGTGTCCGCCGCGTATAGTCGACCCACAGCGCGCACGTATACAGTGTCTGGCAATAAGCTTTAAAAAGCGTAACCTTGACCGAAACACTGCAACGCGCGAACCTGCGAGCCAACATATTGCACCGGACAGCCAGCGCCCTGCGCTCCCTCTCCATATCCTTATCGTCACTGAGATTATCCGAGACCCAATGACCCAGATACTTAAAGTCCGAAACTCGATTTAGTACACTACCCGCTAATTGTATAGGCACAGTTTCATAACTCTTTACTCCCGCTTTAAAAACCATGAGTTCGCTCTTTTTGGAGTTATATCTAAGTCCATGAGCCTCAGCATATGACTCACAAATATGCAACAGTTTTTGCAATGCCGCAATTGAGGGACTCAGCAGCACCATGTCATCTGCATAACTAATATTATTTATACAAACTCCATCTATGTGGCATCCGACTCCCGCGATACTAAGCTCCTCAATCAGGTCATTCACATACAAATTAAACAATCTAGGTGAAGTAAGCCCTCCCTGTCTTACACCACAGTCTAAGGAGAAAACTTCCGACTTTGAATCAGCCCATTTCACAATATTTGTCTGATTTTTATACCAATATTTGAATAATGAAATCACTTCAGGTTCACATGAGGTTTGACCCTCTAGTTTCTCCCACAGTTTGTCATATGAAACCAGGTCAAATGCCCTTGACAAGTCCAAAAAACAAGCATAGACTGGTGTCTTTTTACTGGTGTAGTATTGGACAGTCTGCTTAAGACACATGATAGCACTATCAGTGGATAAACCCGCTCTAAATCCAAACTGTAAATCATGCAGGTTGATATGCTTACTCAAGTGTTGGTCAAGCAGACTATCCAGTACTTTTGCCACAACTGTAGCCAGGGAAATAGGTCTGTAATTTGACACAGCAGAGGAATCCCCTGTTTTATTTTTAATAATTGGTGTGACAACTGTGTGCATTAGATTATTAGGTAAATAAGAATGGCCTAGGCACAGATTAAAAAACATTTTAAGGACCCTGGGTAAATGAGATCCAGCATATTTCAGGTGTTCTATACTTAAGCTGTCATAACCAGGAGATTTCCCCCGCACCATGTTTTTGATTACGTTCCTGACCTGGTTGTATGTGAATCTAACACCCGCTTTCTCCCCGCTACTACTATACGCTATCCGTGCAGATGAAACCGGCATTGGATCCACCTTGAAAGCATGGCGAAAAGCCTCTGCGATTCTCGAAGGCTCGTGAACGCCGGCAACACTCACCGGACAGCCTGCTTTCACATTTAAACTATTTGTCTTTTTCCAAAAATTTTTGAAATCTTTGTTGTTGTGAAGATTTGCAATAATATCCATTTTTATTTGTTGCTCATTGTTTTGACACCATTTTAACCTATTTTTGAAATTCTTTCTAGTTTCACACATATCATTATATAAAGAACCTGTAGTGGGTTTACGCCCTAATAACCACGCGCGATATGACTGCCTAGCCTCAACATGTGCATCGCGTACATATTTATTCCATCCAGGAATATTACGTGTTTTTTGTGTTTTCCTGACAGTATTATTATTGCTAACAATGGATGCTTTACTTAGAATAGAAATAATATCATTATACATGTTGTCAAGTATTTGGTAATGGTTTGGATCAGAACATAATCTGTCTGCGCAACCACTAAATTGATACGGAAAATTTATATGTTTTAATTCCAGGTTACAATATTCATTATATTTTTTAATTTGAGACAAATCCCTGACACCCCATACAACCCTACTATTATTACCAATACATGAAGTTACTTCTTTTGATTTTATAGCTACCAAATTACATTCCATAATTAAAGGATAGTGATCCGACCAGTATACATCATATAGCACCGATACATTCACAACAGACTGTCTCGCTGCACTCGTCAAAGCAATATGATCAAGCCAGCGCCTGGAACCATGCGCATCACTCACAAACGTGTCGTATATACGTGTTAATAACTTGTATAATTATGTATTTATAGTATTTTTATGTTTTATATTATAGTATTATTGTATTAATATGGGTCTTCGTTGCCTGATGTAAATGAATAAATAAATTAAAAAAAAATAAAAATAAAAAATAAATAAAGAGTCACAACCCACAGCTTTTAGGATAATCTTACGAATCTCCGTCGCATCAGCTGGAATGAAACAGATATTGTTTATGTTGGGACGCGTCAGACCACTGATAAAAGACAAGGTGTTTAGTCTGGTAAGTTGATCTAGAGTAGGAACAGTGGAGAAATGTTGGTTAAGGTCATCTAAACCAATTGTTGTACTTGTATATTTATACTCACTGACGTGTCCATTGGTCTTCGGACTGAGTTCTGGCGACGAAGATTGCGCTGACGAGGGCGCTGGGTCAGCGCGAGGCCGCATAAACTTCCTCATAACGCATTACGTCGCGCTCCGCCTGCTCTCACTGAACACAGTAAACACAGGAGACTGGCGACAGACAATGATAACAATTGATGTTAACACGACGAGAACCTCATGACAGTTGGCATAAACCAAATACAATTATCTTTGCTTCGCCAACGAGGTTGTCGACATGTGGGATGTGGACTCTGCTGCGACTGTGCCGACAGTTGGGTTGGGTAATGGAGTAATGTCTAGAAGCCTCCACAGCCTGGCGTTTTGATAGATGGATTAAGAGCCTGATACAGAAGACAGTTCTTCTTGAGTAATCTTGGCACAGCACGTATTGTGTTGTTTCTGAAGTACCTACCTACCGGTGGCTTTATAGATAAAATCACACTCCAATAATAAATCTTTATTTGTAATAACAATGGTCGAAATTTTAAACAAACGACAAGATCTCACTAAGTCAAAATGTCTGCTACTAGGAATATTCCAGGATACGATCTGATCAGTTAGTGATAGTGGTATTAATTATGAGTAATACCAAATATACATACAATTTACGTGCACCCACTTTTAAGTGGTGAAAACACTACCCACTTACGTTATTGATTCCAATTTAATTATTGGGGTGAACCTGTAGCCTATATACCTACCAGGCGCAATTTAAAACCTCGTGCTACTACTGAGAAATATTCGAAAAACCGCAGAAAATCTAATTACACCCAATTTACGCAACTCGGGAATCGAACCCCAGACTCCTCGCTCGGTAGTCGCACTTGTAACACTTGACCAACGAGGCAGTATAGTACATTTACAATTACGTATTTTATCCCTTGATGGTACTTACAAATGGCGCTATGACCTGGGTGCTTACTCTTGAAACCAATATCAATAAAATCTCAATAATTATTCAATGTCAAAACTATACAACCCCTATCGTAGCTGTTAAAATAGCATTCAGAGCATTATTCACGGATTTTTTATTTTTTTTTAATGGGGGAAAATCATCAAATGACTGCTCCCGCCTGGGTGAGGCGGGAGGGAGTGTCAGACTCTTACTGACTAAAAACCACCCCGTTCCTTCTCCTGCACGTCGATCCGGAGCCCCGGTTACCCGTTAGATTCTAGAGTACGGAATAAAACCAAACTCAATACCCAATACACAATACAAAGTCAAAGCATTTATTTCAATTAAACCATAGTTTGGTACTTTTGAAACGTCAACAAATACAAAATAAATAATAGTCTGTCAGTCAGTCCGTCAGTGAAGCTAGGTGAAGCTAGGTGCTCATTCCAAAATGTAGATTCGAATGGAGAAGAACGAGCAAGAAACTCCATTCGTTACTCTTTTTTAAAAAAGTATGTTCTACAATGTCTCTGATACATATTTCAATACTGTACGCATATGTAAGAACAATGCAAAGACACGCTTGACGTATTACACTAATAACTTAAAAAATTAAAAAAATAAAGATCTTAAGTCTAACATGGTGCTCACATATGCATACTGACAATCCATAGAAATAGTGCTTCTATACAAGAAAAAGGAAACTCTTTGTTTCAATAAAGAAAGAAATGCTCGATGCCATAAGGAAACTATGGATTGTCTACATTAGAATTAAAGTATCAAATTATGTATTATATTACCTACTATTGAAATTTAACTACTGACTACATTTGAGTATTGTCCAGTGGAGCCAAACCAACATGCTACCAAGCATTCTATCTTCAAGATAATCTGTCAGTGTCAGTGATGTTTTAAATTGTTGGTTGAGAGTTGAGTTGCAATTCAAGAGTACGAACATAACATAACATCACGCCTTTTATTCCCGAAGGGGTAGGCAGAGGTGCACACTATGTCACTATAATTGTATATGGTGTTACATTGGTAACACCTACTTTTCACTATTTATGTTATGAGTTCCATGTAATAGGGGGTGAGCCTATTGCCAATACCGGGCACAATTCCAGATTCCGTGCCACTACTGAGATTTTTTTTTAAAAACCCAGTAATACCTTGCCCGGCAGTCGCACTTGCGACCACTCGGCCAACGAGGCAGGCAAGAGTACGAAATTTCACAATAATGTCACAGAAATGTCGATCGATCGGAATTGGATTCAAGAGTAAGCTCCCTGCTTGGACTAAGGTAATTGTTGATTGATAGATAGGTAGTTAAATGACAAATAATGAGGAAAAATAGACGTCGCGCGAAGGCGAACTTACGGTTTAAACTGTCCAACACCAAGCGGTCACCGGTGACCGCAACCTATTGTTCTATAATTGTGTCTACAAAACCGGTACTCGACGAGTTAACTGCCGAAAACCCAACTAATGAAAAGTGGCCGTGACGGTGTGACCTTTCATACATAATTCGGAGCTAAGCATAAAAGCTCATAATTTTGTTATTCAGAATCTTTTTTAGGCATTTGCATGCCCTTATTATGGTGAATTCTTTTTTTATGATTCTGCCGCGGTGTCACCCGCTGCCTGGCTACTGTTCATCGTAGCGTGATGTTTTACACTTCTTCAATAAATGGACTATATAGCACAAAAATAATTATTCTACTCGAACACACAAACTGTTGAGCTAAGTATACGGATCTAAAACTTTGAAATGACAATGACCAAATTTGTATGGAGCGTGGTGCCTTTTAATTTTTTCGCGGCAGTTGATCAAATGTGGATAAACTGATGCAGAATAACATTACAAACAAAAAAATATATGGGGTCTTATATCAAAAACACAGTCCGAACCGAGTTAAATCAGTTCAAAGATGTGAAAATAGTGGTATATTATTCCTGTTATTTTGTTGATGGTGACCGTACACAACGCATATTTCTTCATTTACTTGTCACAAATATTTTGTAATGAATGTTTATAAACGATTTCAAGGAATATAGTATAGCTTGTTGTGGGCTTATTTTTTTTTTGATGTTTTTTTTTTTTTTGTTATAAGGCCAAGGATTAAGAACATAGTGAACCATTAACTGGCCACTGCTGAAATAAAAAAAAAACATTTCGCTTGATTGGCTAGCGTATTCACTTTATATGTATACAGTTTAAGGCCTATGACAGATTTTCATGATCAATTTCCTCTCAGTCGAAAACCCGCAAAATACTTTACTGAGCCTTATCATAAAATGCTATGTTCGTCAACTGAGGCGTCGGTAGCGGATACACGAAAACATCATATTTCTGTCTACTTCTCCCGACTTACTTCCGATTAGTAACTAATCTAACTACAGTTAATACTTTAATCTATATCTAGCATAAGATTCTGTACAAAGATATCGTCATTCAGTCACCAAGTGATGGATTATATTTCGACTGATCACATTATATGAAAAAATTATGCGCTCATCTGACGTATAGTCCATCACTTTACAAAGTCGACGGTTTCCTTTCTTGAAAATATTATGCTAACTATAAAGTAGATGAGTCTACCACCAGGAGTCAAAGGCAAAAAAAAATTTTAGATTTTTGGACGGCTACCACTTCTCAACCCACCACTGGTACCTCAGCTGACGCTCATGGAGCTTCATGATACAACTCTTAGAAGCATCCCACAAATTATCGACTAAGAGAAAATAGCAAATAAAATTAGTGCCTGGTAATATGGATATATTGTGGTGTGATATGGTGTTCCTGTGCCCGGCGTACAGTGGCGCGCAATTTGAAGTTAGGAATTGTGACAAAAATATGAATAATTTGAATAAAAAAACCAAAGTAAAATGTTTGACTTCAGCTCTTTTCGACGCTCATAACTCAGTCCAGACTGAGATTTCCATATGTGAGCCCATAGACAATTTCGTTTGTAATGTCATTCTAGATAATATTTTCCATAAATCATCGACTGCCGCCAGAAAAAAGAAAGGCACCAATTTTAGTCAATGCCCTTTAGTATACAGGCGGTTTCGGGGGCGATAAATCAATCTACCTAGGTTTCGTTTTCAGAAAATGTCATTTATTAAAAAAACACCGAACAATCTCGGCCATCCAGGTACTTGCGTAGAGTCAGTAAGAGTCATACTCTCTCACCCTCTCCCAAGGCGGGAGAAGTCATTGGATGATTCCCCCCTCAATAAAAGGTAGGTATTTGAGTATGAATTGATTACTAAGATTATATGTATGTATATATGGTACAGTCCAAGGACACATCGTTTACAACCATTAGTCGAGTCAGTAACCAATCAATGGGTGCTGGCTCTGTACTGAATCAATCTTTATTCATGTCCTGTAATAAGAAATATCTTGGTTCACTGTACGTAGGTAAGTACATAATATCGGCTATGTACAGTATATTGTGGATAGTTATTGTTACTCTACGTTAGTAGCAGTGGGTACGTGAGAAGTTACCTAGAATAATGAACAAGTTGAAGTCGTGAGTGGCCTTGTGTAGCAGTAGTGCTGTGGCCCGACGAGGCCGCAATGAACCGCTGCTCATCTTTTCATGACTTACTTTCGCTAGGGTTCCGATGCCTGGGCGCCTGGCTTGTCTGCGTACGTAGGTAATAGAGCAGTCACCAGTGAGACTGGTTAACCTAACTAGGAATACTGAGCACTTGAGTTTACTGTACTGTATACTATACCTATCCAGTTTACGTTTATGTTTAGCAGTAACGAACGTTATGTGCCAGCCGCCAGGTATACCATTCATTTCACGTCAGCTGATCCAGGTCACACGTCGTGACGAATGATGGAGTTGGGAGCGGAACACACGGGTATAGCTGCTGTAACTCTTTATGAACTACCACAAGTGCCTACCGTACCACCGTACCTAATTAAGTATTTGCATTATTCAAACTGCAGAACAGTACAGACACAGTTTTAAATAACAGTTATACAGTAAAAGTAAAGCGTGAGGTAATGACGTACTAGTAGTAGCGGCGGCGCGTGCCGTTAGCCGCAGGCACTCGCGCGGACTGCGCCTGCGCGGGCCCGTGACGACCCCCCCCCCGTACTGCTACCTACGTCGGGTACTTTACACTCTCTTTGAAGATGCAAACACTTTGTTTACGGACTTGTACTACCCGGGATTAGAATCAGTTTAACATACGCACGGTACTTGGCGCATAGACCGACACATTTTTTTTCAGAGATTTGGGAGGTCATTGGCTACCTTCCACCCGAAAACCTTTTTCCCAGTGGTTTTCTTTAACTCGAAATAACATTTTAGTTTGTGGGTGTAGTGGTCCAAAATAAATATTGTTGTATACTTTAACGTCTATTAAACTTAAATATATTTTTGTTTCATACAAAATCATAAATGATTGAAATTCAAACACCAGGCAGCTACTGTAAACCGTCGAAGGGTTCCCTTAGCTAATAGCTGTAGTACTTCACCACCAGGCCCCTAATGACAATCACACTCTATCTAGGTATAAAATTCTCATCAAAACAAATAATTTAAACCCATACACGGTGTCCCTGCTGCAAATCCTCAAGTAGTTCCCATAAACTGTCTCTCGATTCCATCATCAGATCAACTCCACACCTTCATCAAATTGTAGTAGTGTTAAATACTGTATAAAAAAATTTACAAACTCTTCTAGCCACCCTTACAATTTTCAAAAGTTGTCCTTGGTTTCCACGGGATCCCTTTATTAGATCCTGACCTGGTGCAAATAGGACCACACCAACAAAAAAAAAATATCATAATCGGTTCACAATCACCGGAGTAATTGCGTCACATACTTACAAACACACACAGACAAATTGAAAACCTCCTCATTATTTTGAAATCCGTAAAAAAAAGTCAAAGTCATTTTGAACTTAGTTTCATTTTAAAAACTTCTCACCCTTTATTATACCTCTAGTACGGTGCAAGTCACAGAAATTATTTTGTTGTAAAAAACCGACTTCAAAAAATTCAAAACTAATAAGAAAGAAAAAATAAAAACTAAAAAACAAAACATATCTATAATTTGTACCGATAGGTTACCTCACTGATAGGTTAGAGGTAAACGCCATAAGTTCTACACAAAATTATTCATTAAAACTGTTATAGATACCTCATTTACAATTTTGACGCCATCAAATTATATTATTATGACATGAGCTAATGGCACCGACTGTGGGTGGGTAACCTATCAGTACTAATAATAGTTAATTTTTGCGTTATAGTTTTTACTTTTGTTTATTATTAGTTCTTGGTTTTTTGAAGTCGGCTTTTTAAACGCAGTTTTTATTTTATTTTTTTATCATTTAGTGTAAAGCTACATAGATCCGTTTTGTTACTCATAATATACAAAGGTGCAACGTTCCAATCAATACAAATTATACAAGCCCAAGCACAAGGTAGTTACTGTAAACTGATGAAGAGATCTCTTAACAATTACACTTCTTCATCACCAGACCCTTAAGTTGAGGAGTTCCCTCGACTGTTTCTCTGATCCATCATCAGATGGACTCCAAACCCTTATAAAATTGTGGGGTTAAAAAAATCTATTGAAAAACATAATAGACGCATTACTCCCCCTACAATTTTCGAATCAGCAGATTCTGGCCTGATGAAAATGGGACGCTCTCGGGAGTACCTATACTACCTCTATACCTTTTCAAAAAAAACAAGAATTTGCACAATCGGATTAAAATTCGCAGAGTAATCTGTGAACAAACAAACAAAAAACACGCACTCATCCGAACATAGTACCTCCTCCTTTTTTGAACTCGGGAAATGTAGCTATCTTACCAAAAAACAAAACTTATAAAAAAAATTCTGCTTCAATCATTCTTCGTCCACTACATATCTGTTGGTATAGTTAGGTACATACAGTTTTATAGATTAAAATAAAAAAGGAACTAATCTTCTTAAAACAGCAAAAACAACAAAATTCATACTCAAAACGTTAACGGCCCAATGACCCCTCCTCCCCAGTCCCCTCAATCCCCGAATATCCCACAATCCTAAAAGGCCGGTTACGCACTTGTAACGTCTTAGTGTTCCAGGTGTCCATGGCGCGGCGCCGATTGCTTACCATCAAGTGATCCGTCTGCTCGTTTACCGGCTTATGCCATAAAAACAAAACACAAAAAAAAAATTTGAAGTCGATATAAACAACAGTATTGAATAAATCAATAAATTAATCCATTTAACTATTAATTTATAATTTAAACGGATTAGTTTTATGCGATAAAGCTTCATCATTTGATTGTATTACCTAGAAAGCATTCCGGGAGTTTTGAAAATTGGTAATATTATGCATTTTGATGTTTTGTGTTGTGTGTGTGTGTGTGTGTGTATTAAAATAAAAGACGCAAGTCATAATATGCTATAATACTTATATATATTTGTTTAATTTCTTATTTGTTTATAATTATTGTATTACTCACAGAAATAAGTAACGTTAGAGCGGTAATGCGGTATCCTTAATCAACTATCTACAAAATCTACAAAACTAGAATTACATTATTATATAATATATTTTACAGGAATATAGAGATCGAGGGCGCGCGGTCAGTCGTCGGAGTCGGAGTCGGAGTCGGAGTCGGCGGACAGCGGCGGCGCGGACGATGCGGGCGGGGGCGCGGCCGCAGGCAGCGGGGGCGCGGACAGCGGGGGCGCGGACAGCGCGGGCGGG